CAAGCTATCATAGAATCAAGATTGCCATTACAATTAATTGAATTTGATCAACTAGATGATTTCTACACTTGTCATAATAAGAAATGAAACATTGTCGGCAAATCAACAAAAACAGGCCATCATTTGGCTCTCCTAGCATATCAAAGTAAAAGGGGACAACAAAATCAAAGAACCTTTACTAAGAATTTTTCAAATGCCAAATATGAGAACAATGGTAACATTACAAAACCAAAATCTCAAGTGACATGTCAAATTTGCTACAAAAAAGAATATTTGACAGCTCAATATTGACACATAACAAATCTTCAATATAAAACACATCAATACCTTAATACTATGCTTACTACTCAATACCCAACTGCAAGAATGGGTTCGAGATATCGAAGCCACAATTCACTTCTCATATCATATAGCTAATTTACAAAAAGCAATTATCTACAATGGCTTTGATCAAGAGGTTGTTAAAAATGGCCAAAATATGAAAATCATTCATTTTGGCAACAACACCAAATAGAGCGACTAAAATCTCTTTTATTTGTATTCTTAAACTTTTTAATATTTTTATATCAGTAAAAAAACTTATAAAAGATGAAAATTATCAAGTTTTCTTTAATGTTAATCAACTTCATATTCAAGACATAACAACCAAGAAAATCCTTCTCACTGAAGCAACTGGTCAAAGATTATACTAGAACACAACTCTTAGCACTATCAAAAGCTCAAACATATATCATCACAGTGATATCACATTCTCATCCTCATCTCTAAATACTTCTTTCCCACTATTTTATGATTATTATAACTATAAAAGCCATAAACTCACTTTTTTCTATAGTTCTATTACATATAATATTTTATAAATAATACATTGAGACATTTGGGGATTTTTTCCTCACTATTCAATTGAAGGGTACAAACATTATACCTCTTTCATTAACTTTTTCACGTTTTTGTTGGTGCATACCATTAAGACATAAATTTGAAACTACAGTGCACTATATTTTTTTGCATAAAATGATAAATAACCCATTCAATAAAAGTATAAAAAAGTTTGAGAGTCGATGGTGGAGAAGAATACATGTCAAATAAATTTTGATTTTATCTACAAGGTTACACACCAAGCAGTTGAACAAAACTTTATTACCAAAAGGCCAAAATTCACTTGAGCAAAACTTTATTACCAAAAGAAAAAAATAATTATAATTGTTACAACTCTACTCAATGTTGTTATTGTCTCTATCAAGTTTCAGATAAAAGCTATTCAAACGACTAATTATTTAATAAATAGACTTCCCTCTACAAGCACTCTAAGAAAATCTATTTTTCAACTATTATACAAAATCAAATTTGAATATCAACGTCTTTGAACCTTAGTTATCTATGTTTTCCCTAACAATAATATAATACTTCTCACAAGTTCTCCCCAAAAATCCCATCATGTATTTTTTGGGTTACTATCCACAACACAAAGACTATAAGTATTTTGATATTTAGACTAAGAAATCCCCTTTCTTAGGACATGTTATTTATTAAAAAATATTTTTCCTATAAACAGTTCTCTTAATAGCTCACTCTTGATAATTCTACTCAAAATACATAATTAATACAATCTCCACTTATACCCACATTAACTCTTTCTCTAACACCATCTCGATTACCCTTGTCCAATCTTCACATTCACATACTCAATCACATCTCCTCATTGATTCTCAAAACTCACAATCTTCATCACTTCACATATTCCATTCAGATCACTATGTTGATGATTCCAACATTAAAATACCACACCAACATCACATGTTTTTCTTCTACAATTTTACCAAGCTCATGAACACAAACACAAAACTCTTATTTTTTCACAACCCAACAACATCACATGGTTACTATACGTTATAAAGATAGCTTGAAACCAATAAAAAATTTTATCTTCAGCACATTACCACTTTTACGGAAGCACCAAATATTTATAGACAAGCAGTTCAACTCTCCCATTTGTTCCATGCAATGTCTGAAGAGTTTATGGTTTTACAACAAGGCATATGGGCATTTGTTCCCCCTCCAACAACAATAACAACAAGGCTTTATCTCACTAAATGGGGTCAGCTACATGAACCCTTTTCTATATTGTGTTCTATTAGATGTCTTTTTTTCATTTAATTCTAGGGGCTTTTACATGCATATCACCCAAAAATTTTATATTTACCTATCTCACACCTAAAATTTCATAAGTATAAACGTTATATGAAACATAACACTCATTATCATCTTTTAATGTTCAAATACATCTTTTCATCCATAATTAAAGTACAATGTGTGTAAAACTAAAAGTTTTGGTGTGAGATATGTAAATCCATAAGAATTGGGGCTATGTATGTAATTTTACTTTAATTTTAATAAACTAAGATAATTTTTATACAATATGCCCAAAAATTTTTAGGTCTACCTCTGTCGTTCGTAACATAAGTTGAATCCAAAATATTTAATGATACCATTGCACCCAAGACGATAAAAAGCCATGGGCATCATGTCCGGGGGCGATATATAAAATATTTAGATTTATCCACTTACTTAGCCTCCTTATAAAGTCTGAATTTATTTCAAGGTATGTGTTTCACTTCTATCTAGAATTCTTCTAGTCTATCATGTCTCTTAGTCAAGGGTTCCATCCCAATCAAAATTCCAACCTCAAAATTTCACTTCAATCAAACTTTAAAGATTCAACTTCAATCAAATTTACAACTTTTAACCTCCCACTCTAACTAAACTATGAACTTGAACTAAACTCTTCCCAACCTATGTCAAAGACTAAGAATGGAACTAAATCAACAATACTCAAACCATTTAAACCTTAAACTTTTTAAAACCTTCAAAATTCAAACCTTCTAAAACTTAAAGACTTCTAAAACCTTCAAAATTCAAACATTTTAAAACTTTAGGCTTTTTTAACATTAAAAACTCAAACGTTTAAAAAAAAAATAAAACTTTAAAAACACTATTAAACCATTCAAAACTTAAATCATTTAAAACTTTCAAAATTTAAACAATTTAAAACTTAAGACTTTTAAAACCTTCAAAACTCAAACATTTTAAAACTTAAAACTTTTTAAACCTTCAAACCTCAGACCATTTAAAAAATTAATTTTTTAAAAAAACTTCTAAAATTCAATCCTTTTAAAACTAAATGCTTTTAAAACCTTTAAAACTTAAAACCTTAAAAGCTTTTAAAACTTCAAAAAACCTAAGAATAAAAAATTATAAAACTTTTAAAAACCTTAAAAATTCAATGCTTAAAATGTTTAAAAGTTCAAAATCTTTTTGAAATTCAAATTTAAATATAATTATAATTTAAAATTCAAAATTATTTATTTTTATTGGTTTTTATGATGGGTCTTGAATGGGCTTTTGGTTGGACATATTTCGACATCTTACTTTGAATCTCATAATTATAAACTTACTAACTCAAATTCAAAATGTTCTTGATATTTTTTATTCTACATTTTCTTCAAGCCCTTCATCCATCTAACAAAATTATAAATAATATATATATATATATATATTAATATATGTTTTGGGTTTTAGGACCATGATAGTAAAATTATTTGAAGTAGTTAAGCCAGAAGTTTGTTCCATTTAAGGGAGTTTGTGATATTAATTCTTTTTGAGACTTTATTAAGATTACTTTTTTATGTTATGGTTCCATTTTTGTTTGAATTATTTCTTTTCTTACTAATAAAAAAATTAAATACTAGCATATAAAAATATAGACTAAAGTGATCGGAAATGAAACTAGAAATTTATTATATCTGGGCTCTGAGTAAATGCAAGATGTCTTTTGAGCATGATAGATGGATTGACCCTTAGCGAACTTTGTGATTTTTATGTTGTTCAAAATCTCGCTAAACATTTTCTTTTAGAAATTTTCCTTAGGAAATGTTATATTCCATAAATAATATATTGTTTAACATCTATTATGATTATGCTATATTATGGAATATTAGAAGAAATGAATTTTTATTTTGTTCCTAAAATGCATGGATCAATTTTTGAGAAAATAAGCTCAAAAGTGATACAATTACCTTGCATAAAACAACCTTTTAAAAATTTTTTTAATCATAAATTAAGAGAGAATATGACCAATAAACACTCTCAACTCTCAACTTCATCATAACTGGTCTTAACTCCATTACAATGTACGTTATAAACATCCATGTCATTCTATCATAACCTTGTCAGAAGCACGCTACTATTTCAGAAAATACAATAAGCTTTTTCGTGTTCTTCAATCTCATCAAGTTGAAAGGAGTAATAACTACTAGATAATTAGGGCTGCAAGTTCCTGGAAACAACTGGCTTCTCTTTGATGGCCAGCCATACTTCTTCTGGAAGCCATAAAGGTGACAACATGAAGCTCCACTTCATGCACAGTCCAAGAATTCAATACATAGTTAATCATTCACTTAAGAACTTTGGTTTCTTAGCCAAAGTTCTCCTCATTTATTACAACACACACACACCTGCTTTTGTTTTCCATACATATTTGAAGAGTTACAAGTCACATAAGAAGTGGAACATAAGGAAAATTCAAGCACATAGATTACTTTGAACATTCCTATTTTGGAAAAGTGAATAGGAGGCCATGGAAATAACTTAGGACAAGTTGTATTGACCTAGATTTTATTAGACACTCAAGGAACTTTTTCCTAAATTATATGAATTTTTTTCTTGTTTAAATTAAAGATGCTTTATATATTGGCAGTGAGTGAGAGAGAGAGAGAGAGATGCATACACCCAATCTCATATAACTTAGAAAACTTGATGTTTCATCCTCATAATTTTAAAATTGACATATTTAAAATAAAAAAAAAAATTCATCCTCATAATTTTAAAATTGACATATTTAAAAAAAAAAAAACTTTGGGCCTCAAACAACCAAAAATCTTATTTTTTTGTCAAATTCCATTGGATCTTAATTATAATATTATAAATATATAATTGGCCTCTAACTTTTTTTTTTGACTTATTCAATCAAATTGAATTTTGCCAACATAGCCTCTAAAGTATGAAGAATGTTGTAAATGAGCAAATGATGCACAACGTGTTGACAATCTATTAACTCTGTTTACGATGTTTATCATTTCTATTGACTTCTGATTACTTTTTTTCAACCGGTCCATGTAATACATGTCCCATTTCTCAAAAGAAATGTCACATGTCATGCGCTAGCTCAAATCATTTGGAGTTGAGCTTTTCCATAGCCATCCTATTCACAAAGAGGAAGGAAAGGAGTCAACCGATGCATCGATGTTAGATTTTGGAGGGGAGACAGTTATATCGTCACCTCCAATCTGCCCTTCCACAGCTTGGTCCCAAATGAAGAAGCCCGGGCATTGCGGAGTATCAATCCACGGACTTAACTCATTATTTTCAAAACATTGCTGGCTGGAGCCAGGCTCACACTCCTCACCGATGCAGCCAGGATGCGAAACCATGGCTACCATGCCGTCGACAAGAGGCGGCAAGTAATTCGGGTCGACGAAACATGAGAGGGGAGATAATGTCTGATGATCAGTCTGGCTGTCATTTGTGTTCCAAACGTCGACTAAGTTGAGGTTTCCGACGTCCAGGACGAGCTCATGATCATCTCTTGCCGTGGCACCGCTGCACTCGGAGTCGAACAAGAAGGGAGGGATGGGGGAAGATGGGAAGATGGAGTTGTTCTCATTAGACTTGGAGTTTGCCATAGTTTGATTGGCAAGGGGTTCGAATTGGCTGAGGGGATTCAAGGCGGGGGTTAATGTTGGTGGGATTTGAATGCTTGAATATTGGGGACTTAGAGAAGAGGATGATGTGCCTGTGCTTGGCTTTCTTATTTTCTTCTTGATCCAAGAATTCCAATAATTTTTTATCTCGTTGTCTGTCCTTCCGGGTAGGTGGCTTGCAATGTGAGCCCATCTACAATTTAAAGTAAAGTATCATGGAAGTATGTAAAGAAAAAATGTACATAAAAGTAAATGCAAGTGCCTCACATTTCAATTAGTTCATAATGTATATGGACCAAAAATTAATAATAATAATAATAATCCTTATATATATATATATATATATATATATAATAATAATAATAATAATAATAATAATAATAATAATAACACCTAAGTTTAGAGCATTTTTATAGAAATTGATTTAATTAATTGTCCATTTATCTTTAATATTAGATTATCTTTTTGATGAATAATATCAAGGGAAGAGTCTTTTGTGTCAACGTGAAGAAAACACCCTCACAAAACTCTATCATTTAGATTGATCAAACTTTTTAATTTTATGGTTAATCAAGTTAGGTATAAATATCGTTTACATAATTTATATATGAATTGAATTTATCAGAAGATAATAGCAAACTTCAATAAAAATCAAACCTTTTTTCCCAAATTAATGTAAAATATAAAAATATAAAGAATGCATTCATGAAACTAGAGGATAATTTAAAACAATACCTTCAACCACAACTTTGACTTTAGTAAAGTTGTTTAAAAAATATGGCTAAAAATTAAGCAATTAAAAATAGCTAGAAATTTTGCAATTGAAATTAATTTTAAAAATACTATTTAATAAAGTTTAACTAAATAACTATTTTATCATTTTTTGCCCATAAAAAAATAATTATCACACTCTTGAAAAATTATAATTAAATGCCTAAAACTTATTTCATTATAAGATTTTTATATTTGTATCTCTTAAAAAAATATAATAAAAAATTAATTTGGAGTGCTTTTACACGCTATCAATCTCTTTTAATGCATGTGTTTAACTTAAAATAGAAATAAAATTCATAAATCCAAAAAAATCTTGGAATACAAAATAGAAATAAAACTGATATATCCAAAAAAAAGTTGGAATACAAATAGGTTGAAATAAATATTTTTCAGTGACAAGAAGTCCAATTACATGCATTTCACATAATTCTTATGTATCTAACATTTAAACATTTAAACTATTGACAATAGTAAATATTTTTCAGTGATTACAAGTGTATATTTCCCGTTTTTTTCTCTTTCTCTCATTTTTTTTTCTTTTCTCTCATTTAAACTATTGACTATAGTGGCCACCTCTATTTATAGATGAGACTTAAATCAGTTTAGCTACAAATACCATTACACCAGAAACACAAAGTACAACGTGCATATTATTAGAATACAAAAAGATATAATAGATATATGGCTTAAGTGTCATTCCCTCTTTGAATAGCTTTCAGACAATAGTAAATATTTTTCAGTGATTACAAGTGTATATTTCCCATTTTTTTCTCTTTCTCTCATTTTTTTTTCTTTTCTCTCATTTAAACTATTGACTATAGTGACCACCTCTATTTATAGATGAGACTTAAATCAGTTTAGCTACAAATACCATTACAGTAGAAACACGAAGTACAACGTGCATATTATTACTTAGAATACAAAAGATATAATAGATATCTTTGCATAGCTTTGAGGCATATTATAATCTAGCTCTTAGGCTAGTTGATGAAGTTGATTTAGATTTATAAATCATGGCTTGACTGGTCTGTTACTCTAACTGACTGAGTTCATAGGTTGGTCTCCTTGGCTAAACTGGCTGGTGCATGTGTTCTAGTTGAGTTGCATGTCTGAGTTATTGAATGAGGTAGTTGGATTAGTTGGTTGACTCTTAATTTGAGATGAATTGAGTTTAGAAAGATATTCTTATAAATATTTAATTTCCTATTTATCTTATCTCTTCAATTTTGGAAAGCTAACAAGGGAATGGAATTTGATGATAAAAATGCACTGGCTTCCCTATATTTTATCAAACTTATTTATAATGTATTGACTTCCCTATAAATTATGTCATTCAAGAAAAATAAAAAGAGAATACTCTTTGCTAAGGTATAGCTATAGAAATTACTTCTCCTATCTTCCCATTTTATTCCTTTCTCATATTTTTCTGCTTGTTATGATCGTTGGAGAAAAATCTCTAAAGGATGAGTACGATTCCTAAAACTAGTCTTATTAAGGCATTATATGTAAAGCGCAAAAAGAAGAGG